GTGTGTGTGTGTGTGTGTGTGTGTGTGTGTGTGCAGAGAGGATTTAGGTTTCACAGTCTGACACTATTAAATTCCCCCTCAAATGTTACCCCCTCAAAGCTGTTGCTTACAGTGTGTTTTCTATGAAAATAGTTAAGGGCTGCACTCTGCGCTTTAGCCCTTTCTTCATGTCAGCTATTCTAAATGTTAATGAATCATACATTGCTCTCAGACACCACATCCAATTTAATCGCCTAGAATCAAAGTCTTTCTAGGACCCAGAACAGATTTGTTTAATTCAGACTGAGGACTCTGTTATACCCTTGGAAATACGCAGTCTTGTTATCCTGATTATGTATTCAATTGCATAAATAAACTATTTTGCACTGAAAAGATATTCACATATTTGGAGTTATAAATATTTATCCAGACATATTCCTGAGTCAAGGGAAGAAAAAAAAGAAAAAGAAACCATAAGGAGCATAGGATATCAGTTTTCACATTCTTGGCAATTATTTTATAAGAAGTAGGTGAAAATTAAGCATCCGCTTACTTCAGAGGGAGAGAGCTGAGCCTGTTGCCATGTCTCATGTGTTTCAAACACCACAGGAAGAAGTGGGAAAACTCAAGTATTTCTAGCTTTCTTCTCCAACCAAAATAGCACGATAGAAAGTCAAAGTTTTAACTTGACTAAATATTATTTTTAGTTGTATTTTAGTATAAAAATGCAAAAAGGGAGATTTAAATCGAAGTTGTTAAACGAAAGGGAAAATTAATTTGTACCCGTGAGTTTGTAGTTGCTAAGCGCTGCAGTGGCATCTGAACAAAACCTTCTGCAAAACAACACATTTTTCCACGTATCGCGTTCACCGAAAGAATCGGGGAACAAACTGCAGCCGTGACTGATAATTTCCAATTGTATAGTGCGAACGCGATTGGTTACACAATGCAGAAGGACCACTGGAAAAACAAATCACAGTTATGAAACTTGATTTTGTGGGTTATGGCAGAAATTAATCTGTCTCTGAAAATGGAACAGGTGACGCGGGTTCAGAGTGATTGTGTGCTTTCGGCCCGGCACACACACAAACTTTGCATTGCTTTAAAAGACACAAGTCTTTACTTTTTTGTTGACAAGAGGTCACGACCTTACCCATCCACCAGCCGCTAGCCATCTCCTCGTTTCCCATGCATATGCAGCGTTGTAATATCTGAGTCCATGCATGCCTAGTGCCTGTTTCAACCTCGTGCAACGTGCCTCTCTCTCAGTATGCAGGCCTCAATCCTCCACCCCTGCCAGTGCAGCTCAACGCCAATATCCATCAGAGCCCACTTCATTCCCCGCTTTCATCATCTCTTTTATGTGCTCACGCCCGCCGCACTGTTGGCTTAATTAGGCCGTTGCTTTTAGCCAGGGTCAAGCAGACAACACAGCAACCGGGACGTAGAAGCAGACAGCAGCAGATCAAATGTCTGCCCACCTTTCCTCTCCCTGTACGGTCCAACCTTCTCCCCACAGCCAGAAGGTGAAAGGTGCACTGAGGTCTGAACACCCCCACCCTTTCACTCCCCTCTCCACGTATGCACTCTTTCATCACTTCAGTCTAATAGCTGCACATGGCTTATATACATGCATGTGGAAGCACAAATATAGAAGGCCCACTCTGACACCAATTCCACCGCATATCCAAGCGCAAAACAGTCCAGTCTCAACTTTTACATTTATTTGACGGGTTTTTTTAGAGACAACGCATTACTTGTCACCACTGGATTATTTATTTTCCTTTTTTACATTTAAGCTTATTTTGGTTTCTGGATTATTTTTAGATTTTTCAAGCTTTGTCAATTACCGCAAATATGAAAACATGGCCTACCTGTTGGAAGGGCATCCGGAGGGCGCCCATATTGACATAGGGTGCTACTCTGCATGCGTCAAGGGGACTGCCGCTGCCCAGAATAACACCTGGAGAGAAGGGAAAGATGTCTGTCAGACAGCCAGACAGTTGTTGTTATGTGAGATGAGGAGGTCACAACTTTTTTTTTCACATGCAGTCATAAAAATGGTGAAACTGTGTCAAAATGTAATCAGTAATAAATTCACTAATAATAATATTAAGAGGCCAAAATAAAGGGAGCAAATTGCATTCACCTTTGTGCATCTGGTTTTCTTGTTTTCGACACTTTGCTCTCCTGTTCTGAAACCAAACCTGCAATCGAAAGAGAAAAGAACTGATTAGATGCAAACAGTTTCTATCCTATTTGTTGTCATATTTAAATAGTGAAATTAGATTGTCATAAATGGACAAATTTTTTTTTTTTTTTGGAACCAGGCAAATAAAAACAGGGGAAATCCAACACACGCAAGCAAATAAAACCTAAGTCAAGTGTGTTCACAAATAAATACGAATTGTAATAATTTTCAAAGAGGAAAAAATATTAGACTGTAAATGAGACTAAACTAATTTATAGATTAAAAAACATACTTTTAAAACTGAGCTAAATGGACTGGTTCTTATATAGCGCTTTTCACAACTGCTTCATTCATACAAGCACTTTTTTCTTTGCTCTGTCTATCTAACATGCACACAGAGCAACATGGGGTTAGTATCTTGCCCAAGGATATTTGGCAGATGGGGATCGAACCACCAATCTTCCGATGACCTGCTCTATCTCCTAAGCTACAGCCACTTAAAGTCACTGTAACTTAAACAAAGTTCTAGTAGGGTTGTAAGAAAAAGTGTAGCAATTTTACAAGGATACTGTGATCCTTCAAATAAATAAATAAATGTCATTAACTACCTTCCAATTTGCTGACTGCCTTTGAAGCTGCAGGCTGCGGGCCTATTGTTAATCACCATCAACTTAATTTGCCTCGTTGAATAACATTATCTCCCCTCCCCTTCGACCCCCGCGATGATTATCGTTAACAGATGCGAAAATTAGCGACCGGTGGCGGACCACAAAGGGCGCCGACTGATGATGTTGCTGACGACTCGGGGTGCCGTGACGCCGTTTTTAAGCTGCGGGGGAGCGACGTGCAACATCGTGTCGATGGGACTGCAATAACAGGGGAAGTCGATAAAGCGTCCATTAGGGACCGAGGCGAGAGAGCAGGAGATAACAACGAGGCGAAAATTACGAGGAAAACAAATGTCTCGCTCTCAGCTTCACAAAATATCATCCAAATATATTTTTTACAATAAAACCAGAGCAGTGAGATTTTCCTGTCGATGCATTATCAATGTCTATAAATCCTGTCCACGTAGAGTACATAATTATTATTATTATCATCATCATCGTGGTGTAGGCCTGAAGCTAAACACTGCACATTGTCGTTATTGTTTGCGATTGTTTACGCCGTGAGTTATTAGCTCTACAGCGGTAAATGATGGTAGGAAAGGTGTTTATGAAAATCCCAGGTGATTTTGCATAGACGCACAGTAATCCCTCAGATAAATCAAGGCTAATATTAGACGGGCCCGAGATCAATTCCAATTACGTGCCAGTATGTTAAGCAAAGTGAACTACACTGGTTCAGACAGTTATTTCTTCATTAAGGGCCACTCAATGATGCGCTTCACAAATACCCTAATCTCATTTCCTTTTTGATTTTTTATTAGAGACAGTGAATAATGACATTTAATTTAGCAGCGCGCCAGAAACCCAAAGATATTAGTCCTAACCGAATTACTGCCTGCTCCTCACCAAGCTCTCATAACTTTCAATTAGATTCATTGACAGCTGCTCGGAGCGCAGGTTCACAGCCTGTAACAGCCCTGCTGCAATTCGCTCTCACTAAATCTGGAGAAAACATGTGCCAGTGCGCACCCCCCCAAAAGACAGCCTGAAAATGCTTTATTTATTTTTTTCCTTCATCTTTTTTCCCCCAAAAGAGAACATCGGTAGGTTCCGAGTGTCTATTTGATAACATAAAACACACACACACGCAGACTCGGTCTTTATCAGTCATATTTCCTCCATAAATAATTTTAATGCACGCACTTTATTAGCGATAATAGCAGTGTACTGCTGTCAACTAAGTCCGCTCAGGAAAAAAGGTAGTCGGTGGCTTATAAAGCTCTATGATGCGGCTTATTCATCCGATTAGATATAGCTGAACAGCAGCAGAGTTGGCCCAGAATTGAATTATTTCTAATCTGTTTTTATGGGGACACTACATCAAGCCAATGGCAGATATTACAAAGAAAATGAGGAGCGATACGAGTTGACATAAGAGCGCGTCCCCTGAAGCAGCCATTCAGGCTCTTCATTCATTTTAATCACTGGCTGGATTTCTTTCTTCTTTTTTTCTACCCGCAAGGATGCTCGGATCGGAGGCACAAGGCTCCACAGGCCTACCGCTGCAAGTTCAGCTGGCTCTGAGGCTATCCATCCTGGACGGTTTACAACTGGTTTACTGCTACTGTACGTGAATCTTTCATTAAACACACACTTTTAAAAAATAGTTATTTGTCATACTTGTTAAGAGGGCCTGGTGAACCCTCTACATTTGATATTTTCCTAAATAAATATTTTTTTAAATAGTCAAATCTGCGGCAATTGTGCAGTCATGTTTCTAACATTTATAAATGTCGCAGTGAAACCGTCTCCCTGTAGGAATATTAGGACACCACAGAGAAAGCTAGACGGGGCTTTACAAACCTCCCCATAGGAATATTACCGCAATATTTCAGACGTGGAGCTTTTTCACTAACAAGCTGGATCATTTATTTGTCAAGTGGTCAACCTGTCACTAAACTAATGAGCTCCTAGCTTTTTATTCTTCTGTTTTTTATTTATTTATTTACTTGTATGTTTCAGGACACACGATGCGACCTGTTTATGTTCCAAAAGAAACCAGAATTTGTTTTTAAAAAGTCGTTTTTTCACGTGGCTCACACGCAGTCTTTCGTATTTCGAGTCATTTCAAAGGATTTTAAACGTGCTCAGTGTGCGAGCAAACACAACAGAAAAGGTTTATTTAAAGGCTCCAAAATGACTGCGCAGTTTTATAATATATTTTCACGTTTTTATAGCAATATGCGTGTTTTATAGCAAAATTATTTCACGATGGATCCACATGGTCCGGTTTTCCACCTCAAAAGCTAAAAATATATTTTCTTATATTTTCGGTTAATTACAGTGGGGTTTCCTTATAGAACAAATTAAGGGCTGGCTAGATCACTAACATATTTCCCACAAAGCAGTGATGCCACTTAACAAATCACCCACACACACACGCGAGCTTACAAGTGTTGCTTAACAACAGCAGAAATATTTTCACACTACAGCCGTCAGACAGACAGACAGACAGCAAAGCTTCTTGGCCGCTCCTCACACAGCAGCAGCAACAGCACGATTTCCGCTCTGCATCACAGACACGAGAGTGAAGAAAGTGAGTAACTTATGTGGGAAATCCTCACCTGCACTCTGGCCTCGGACAGTCCCAGCCTCTGGCTCAGCTCCTCTCTCATGAAGGCGTCCGGGTAATGCGTCTCGTCGAAGAGCCGCTCCAGCTCGTTGAGCTGCTCCAGGGTGAAGTTAGTGCGACTCCTCCGCTGCTTCAGTTTGCCCTGTGCATCTTCATCCTCGGACTTCACGTCCTCCTTTTTCTCCTTACACTCATATATCCCTGTTAAACGGCCCACGGGTGGTGGGGGAAGGAAACAATTATTATTATTGTTTTTTAAAGGAGAAGATGCGTTTAAAATTCACACATGCACATATTCCAAGCTCAAAACACACATATCACAAGTGCGCATTAAGGGTTCCCCCCCATATAGTCAACACTGGGCCCTGACAGGGGGCCTTAGGCCTGGCACTTTGACAGCAACACACACACACACACACACATTACACAGCTTAGTTCTTCAATAGAGAGGCCCGTGGCTGCATTTCCAGCCTCCATAAGTCAGCGTGTAATGTCAGTGCCGTAATGGAAGTAAATCAGTCAATATGGAAGCCTAATAAGGGTATAAGCGATTTAAAGAGCAGAGAAATAAGTCCCGGCTAAACGGAGAAGATTTAGGCCTAATTACTCACCTCCATAAAACAGACCTTGGTTATTTTAGGATATCCATAAAAATCATCAGCCAACAGATTTTTTTATTTAATCACACCATTACGCTGCGTGGCTGACAGTACACTATAGCCTAATAAAAATAGAACAGCCTATGTAAGCAGCTATTAAGTGTTATCAGTGTTAATTTTAGCAACAGAGCTGACAACTGCTGCAATTAATGGCCTTTTCTGTCTCATTTTACTGTTTGTACTTTGCTTTTTTTCTCTCAAATGAAAGTCATTTTAACTTAAATAAAATCCGATCAGTTTATGTTAAAAAAGACAGCTTTAATTTAAGTTATAGGGCTGATTATTGCGCCATAGTGCTGACTCCATTTTTTTAAACTCTTCTTACAGGATAAATATAGAAACAAATCCACTAAATCATAGTTTTCTGCCCACTGCACATTTGTGACTGCTGAGTGAAAGGAGGCCTGTGCTCCTGCTGTATGCTACTTCACAGACTGGAAATGAATAAAGTGATTTTTAAAAGGTAGATCTATTTATGTTTTCAGCTTACACACGATTTTGCAACTGAAAAAATAAAAAGATTTATTGCTACTCTAGAGTGTGCAGTCTAAGAGAGCGTGGCAATCGGCAGTCCTGCAGGCTATGGGTTTATACACTGCATCATAATTACATTATATTTAAGCTTTTAAACAACGCCTGCTAGAATGTACAAGAATACATAATTTACTAATAAAGGCAAAAGAAAATACACTGCAGTGCTGACTTAAAGTAGGTTGTTGCCGGATAGTTTAATACCGGCATAAAATGATGACATATAGTCCAAATAAAGCTAAAATCATTATTAAACATTAGACATTTAATACGATTATATTCTACAGAACAAATCTTGCTGTATTTTTTCTTTCCTTTCGTTTGCAAACTATCATTAAACAGTTAAAGCGATGGTCTGGCGAAGGGCCCGCCTCCTGCTTTGTAAAATTATCATTGCAATAACAGATTAATGCGTTAACTTTGGGGAACTACATTGACTAAACGCGGTTACGTAAATTCAACTCTTTTTTATGCGCGTAGATTTTGTAAAATTATAATAATTAAAACAACAACAAGAAAAATGCATCGCTCCGGACACACCAGACAGCCGAACTTGAGACATTTTCCCCGACATCACGCGGGAGCATTTCTCACAATTAAAGTGAAAACCTTACCCTCTGTCGCCCGCGTAACATTAAAGTCCTTCAGTTTCTCCTTCTCCAGCTCGACGTGGTCCTTGAACAGATGCACCGGGCAGTGGTTGCTCTCCGTAATGTCCTGCAGGTTTGTCTCCGGGCTGCCCAGCTCCCTCGCCCTTGTCAAGCCGCTCTCCAAAACTTCCCTGTACGTGATACTCTCTTTGCTGCTCTCCTTGGTTTTCTGATCGAACGATTTCGACACGAATGCCGTAAGTTCTTCCATGGTCAGCTCTGTCGCTCAGTAGTGCTCCTGCTCAGGGAAATCCACCGTGAATTCTCAGCATATACCGTCTCTATATACCAGTGTACAGCTCACGGATACGCTCTTTTAGGAGGCTGGCAGCAGCGATAGATAGAAGGGGTGGAGAGGAGGTGAGATCACTCCTGCTGTTGTGACTGTGTATTTGAGAGCACACTATTTATACACGGCCACCTCAGCCCAGCGCCCCCACCCCTTCTTCCCTCGGATCTCTGTGTCTCGAGCAATTACAGGCCGGCTCGACTTTGCAGAATTCAACTTTCAGCAGCTTTTTTTCCCTTCTTCTTCTTCTTCTTCTTCTTCTTCTTCTTCTTCTTCTTCTTCTTCTTCCACAAATCAATGATGGAACTGATGGAGGCGGTTAATTGAATTACGGGGTCATTAAAATGCCTATGGTGGCTCACTCCTGTGAGGAGGCTGTATATGGCTGTTGTGTCTAATTAATTCGGCGAAAATTTAATTAACGCGATTAGGAGATAGAAATACGGGGTTTGTGGAATTTCGCTTTGATTTCCTTTGTCATTTGTTGACAAATGTGTTTGAACCTTTATGTGCGCATGAGTCACCAATAGCTTCTGGTTTATATGCTTTCTGGACTTGTCTGAACTGGAATTAGCACACAAGATTCCTGAGAGCAAAAGGCACGGAGGCAACGATGAGCATTATAAAGTTGCGAGTGAACTGAAAATATGAGGACTTGCTTCACAATGAACGGGTACTAACGCTGAGCCAGTGAAAATTACAATAGATATTAATAATGCCTAAGTAATGTCTGAAAAAAACAAGTGACCCCCTCTTCCAAACATTTATTTTCCTCAAAAACAAGTGCAGCCAAAATTTATTTGATTGGAGTTCTGAAGTTATTTTCCACTGCCTACTGCAGATAAGTGCATATCATATAAATGCATACAGCAAAAGAGCGGAAAGTAGCCGCATATAAAAGCAACAGATGCATAATTATCGGATAATGGTGTAATTAATATTTTGGTGCTCTAAATTCGGGTCTCTTTTGAGTATTCAACTGGAATCCTTCGCGGTTTCCGTTTACAAATAGGGAATAGAAATCAATAGATATCAGCAGTGGACAAATGTGCCCTCTTTTTCATGGGAATAAGTGAGCCCATAATGGCTTAACGTTATCTAAGTCGTTCATCAGTCCAGCACACAAACACAAAAAGGCCGAGAGAAGAGTGCGATCCCCTGGGTCTGCCGCCCTGAGCGGCCCGCCACTGTGAAAGTCTCATATCTCAGCCCTCTAATGACTCGGTTTGATGTCTCTCCATTTATCAGTAAGCCCGCTTCACATCACTGCGGCTGACGCACAAGTCGCGGTCTCTCCCATGTTCCATGAACTGCGCCTTTTGTTGTTAATAGACCTAAATCCTCTTTAAGACGCAAATCTGCGCTCCCAGTCGTGTGCCTCGATATCATCCCACAATAAAGCAGGGTTTACAAAAGACGCACGTGTCTGTAACGAAATAAAACACCAATGGGGTTTTATAAAACGGAATTAAAGGCGATATTGAACTTCTACGCACAACTCCTGCGCTCCATCTAACTTTGAGGTTTTTTTTAAATACACTTTTTTATTTTTATTTCTTTATTTTGTCCTTTAAAGTATATTTATGTTGGATTTGAGATTGGATGTACATGCAAAAACTAAAAAAAAAGTCAGACACAATAAACCAGTTTTTAGAAATATAGTATTTTGCTACCACAGATGATTTTTGAAAAAGTATTGTTGGATGGTGTAGTCACACCTATATGCAACATTCTCTCAGTGAGACAAAAAAAACGCCAAAAGATTTTCCCAGAATGATAAAGGAAAACATATTGCCAGAGGGCCTATAGGCAGCGCCTGTTTAATATGAATGACGAGCACGGCGCCCAATTAAAATAAGACAACTTATAGCAGCGTGTTCTCGTGTATCTGCTTAATGTTTTACCACGTTTTTATGCCACTTCATTGTTTCTGCTGAATAAACAATAACCGAAGCAAAGGCACATTTCTCAGCTCCACTTTCTCTAAATATTTATTGCACAGAAATGTTTCTGCATGTAATCTGACAGACATGAGCCATGTGTCGGCCAATCAGCAGCAGCCTGGAGGAATATCAGAAGAAATCCAGGAGGGATGCTCTTTACGCACCAACGCTGGTGTCGCTACAGTTTAGTGGCCAAAAAAAACCCTCTTAAAGGGGCCTCAATCATAACTACACTTGCCGTTCATTCCCCACGATTCAAACACCCCCTCCTTTCCTGCTTCACGGAGGAAAACACGTATTTTATTTTATTTTTTAACTATCCAATAACTTAATTATTATCGGTTCAGGAATCGTTATTTTAGCGGAGACAAATAACAGCTACTAAGCTACTATGTGGCAGAGTATAAGATAAAACATTATCATTATTATTATTATTATTATTATTATTATTATTATTATTATTATACAGTAATTTAATTATTAATTGTATTTAATTAATTTAAAATTTGTACTTTTTTGTATTTCTTTTTTCTAAAGCATACATGTATAAGAATAACGTTTTATTTTATTTGATGTTATTAATGCCACTTTGTATATACATTTGCATTTACATTTGATCATTAGCTATTTATCCCATAATATTAATATGATCACATTTTATTACTATTTTCATTTTAATGACATTTATATACACGTCAGTGTTGCTATTATAAATTAACAATGTCTATAAATCTAATAATGTCCTGATCAGGGAGCTGAGGAATTCCTTCTCTACCTGCATGTGAAGGCTTTGGAACATTATCAAGACATCAGCAGACTTAAATGAGTCTGTGCTGGCTGGTGCAGAGCAGAGACAGAGAGACAGAGAGGAAGAGAAAGGGGCTGGAAGAGAGGGTGATAAGGTGGGGAAATACTGTAGCAATGCGAAGCAATGAGCAAAACAGGATTGTGTTGCCCCCATTGATCACAGTTCAAATTTACACATCTGGTCATTGTTTAAATATTAGAAGTGAACCGCTTTGGAGCTCTGTGAAGCATGTGTGAGGAGTCTAATCCCTCTGGGCTGTCAATACTCCCTTTTGACAGAGGAGGAGTAGGGAATACTGAGAGGGTCAGAGCAGTGTCTGCCTGGACACAAGTCTCACCTCCAGCAAAATGCCACAGCACTGCTTCAACCTGCTGCCTCTGCCAAGCTAATCCCTCGTGTGTGAGGGGGGGTAGAGCCTAAATGCAAATCTCACGTCCTGTAAGTTTGCCAAAAATGTTTTCACTCATGAGAAGAGTCATTTATGAAATCTTTCAACTGCCTAAACTGAACAAAAGGACTTATATTATTTCGTTGCTTACTTGTATATTTGTGCTTAACAGTGAGATTGAAAAACAGAAAGAAAGACGATAAAAGCTGTGTGTTAACATGCGTCCATCCTCTTTTCTTCGCACACCGCTCCAGTAAAGCCACGATATGTGACAGCTGTGATTGTCCCAAGACGATACAGTGACTTTTAAAAATTTTAACTTAAAAAGCAACTACTACACCTCTGGCTTCTAATATAATTTCCATGAACATAAAGCCTTTTTTTGTAGAAATGCACTTAACTCCAAATATCATCATCTGGTTCTACAGGGACAGAGTAACAGCAAAAAAGGAAAAAATTCAATAAGGTGGTTTACTTCAATCTGATTCAACAATGCAGAGCTGCTGTATAGATGCGATCCTGCACAGAAACAGAAAATTGGATTCTTCCCCAATACGAGAAATTTAAACGTGTCCTGTGAGGACAAAGAAGATTTGAACTCACAGTCGTGTTAATGACAGTGATTGTGTGTGTGTGTGTTTATTAGACTTCTCTGGCCTGTCTGCGAGTGCTGGGATCTCACGGTTGTTACATTGTCTGGTGCCTTCATTTAGGTCCTTTTGCAGTGCTGCAGCAGTCCACAGAGACTACAGGCTGTTCTGTGTTCAAAAGCCTTGTCTGCCATCTAAATGAGGCTTTCGGGGCAAAAAAAAAAAAAAAATAGAAAAAGAAAAAAAAAATTCAACATGAAAATACCACAATGTGCTAAAGATTAGCTCATACTCAAGTGGGATGTTTTGGGAATATGTTGGTTCTCCTTTTCGGATTGTTATTTTTCCTTGTGTATTCTCTAACAGCTATCTACCCACAGGGCACAGAGGCCTCTAGTTTAGTGGGGAAGGGAAAGAAAAGGCATGAAATTGATATTATACCCTTAAATACAGCACAGATTTGCAGGGAAAACACAGTAATCCACTGACAATGCTTGAAAATCAAACACATATTTCTTGCTCGCTTACAAGCTTGTTTACTCTTGAATCTACTCTTTAATTACTGCCAGCTTCTTAAAACTGACTTCTTTCTTTATAGGTATAAAAAGACCATTTTTTCTCTATGCAGTACCTATAGAGATGCGGTTATCCTTATGGTCAAAGGCTCTGGGGAAATGCAACAATTTATACAAATCAATAGCGTTCAAATAATTCATGACTGATCACATGGTGTTTTAGCTCCTTATTTGCAGTAGAAAACCATGTTTTGTTTTGCTCCCAGAGGGCAACATGAAAGACCCGGGGAGAGGCGGGGAGAATTGGGAATGTAACTGGAAAGAGTGCATGAGGATAATAGGAGGACATTGATCATTTGGTGCACAAGAACACAACTGAACCTGTGAGTCAAGGCTAACAAGATGTATCATTTATACATTATTTAGACATGTCTGGGCTTTCCGTGTGCATTTTCTTACATCGGGTTTGCATCAGCGTCTTTGGAGGGGACACAGCGCGGTGACCTGAGACGATTAGAAGAAAATGTTGTAATTTTTATTGTTCGTTCAGTAGAAAAGAAGAAGAAGAAAGAAAATATGTAACAACTACCAACGCAGCAGTCAGTTCTTTCAGTGCTGTCCATTTGAAATTACTATTGTGTGTGGTGGGAGCAAATAAATCCCAATTTGGGCAGTGTTAGTCAGTCACAGCTTGTAATAAAAATTAATTTTGTAAATGTGGAGATGGATCAAGTTCCCTCTTGGCAGGGGGACCATCCCACAGACATGTTAACAACGTCTTCAGAGACCAATGAGGCCCATTTACAATAAGTGTCTGTTTTAAGTCGCTTGCTTTGTGTGTGTATGTGCGTGTCTCACCACAGCAGGCTATAAGAGGTCCCTCTGGTGTCAGCCGGAGAGAAGC